ATCCCTTTCCACACGGCAGCCACGGTGGCCAGGACCCTCACTCCCTCGCAGGCTGAAGCAGGCTGATGCTCGTGAATGCCTCCCTCCCTCCCGTCTCTTTACCCTCCTGTCCTTTCTTCACACCACGGAATACCACTCCTCTGCCAGCCTCCTCAAATTTCTACCTGCCCTGTCAAAAATTTCACTGGCTCCACACTGTCCCAGATCAAAGACAAACTCCTTAGCTTAGCAACTCAGGCGTTGCACAGCTCACTCCTGGGACTGAGGCACCCCTACCCATTCCTGTCTACCCCGAGGTCCCCCAAAATCACAAGGCTGACCACACCCCTGACCCTGGCTTTCGTGACAGGCCCCTGCCTGGAATGGCCTCTCCTTGACCATATCCCAGCCCATCCTCTCTGCCTGAGCACAGTCTTCCTGGGCTCTATGCCCAGCCCCCGAGCTGACTGTACTGGAGTGGTCTGCAGGGCTTCATGGAAGAGGCAAACCAAGCTGCAGGGATGGGCAGACCATAGCACACACGTGGCCCTTGTTAAGACTTTTCTAAGTACTACTTCCTTTCTGCTGTACTTAGCTTTTGGGACATACCTTGCCTCCCTTCCTGGATTAGAGGACATGGATTATGGCTTCTATTTGTGTCCCTTACACTGTAATATGCAGAGTAAGACAAATAATAACCATAGCTACCACTTACTGTGCGCCAGGCACTAGATGAAGTACATTACAAATTTCACTTTTCTCCCCGGTATCCCCATAAAATGTTACAGACCAAAAAAACTGAGACCAAAGGCTATCAGGACACATTTAAGGTCACACACTAAGCGGCAGACAGGATTCAAATCCAGACATACCCAAATGCAGAGCCCATGTTCCGTGGAGCAGGCAGCAAAACAAAAGGCAGCCACCTCTCAGCTCCCCTACCTTCATTCAGTGTTTAGGAAGCCCGTACTAAGTGTCAGGCAGCCAGTGCAAGGCGCAGGGTGCTTAGCAGGAACTAAACAGACAAGGCCCCTGCTCGAATGGAGCTCACACAAACTGTCCCCAGTCCTGTCCCTCTTCTTCCAGGTTTGGAAGAGGGCAACGACTCCTGACCCCCTGTAGGGGACTCCACCAGCACAGACAAGGTATCTGAACCGGAGATACAGCTTTGGCAACATGTGGTGCCCAAATCGCGATCATGGGGGCATAGGAGCCTGTCTTCAGTGGAGAAAAAGCCTCAGGCTCTATTTAGGGAAGTTCTCCATTCAAGGCACAGCCAGAGCCAAGCAAACTTCAAAGTGCCATCAGCAGGGGGTAAGCAGTGGAGGAAAGGGGCTTGCTTTGCAGTCAGAAAAGCCAATTCCCCAGTTAACAGTCACAAGCCTTTGCACCTCATCTGAAAAAGTGATAACAATATTTAAGATTTATATAATTATGTGCCAGATGCTATTCAAAGTACATGACATGTATTATCTTACTTAAGCCTCTTAACCTGATGAGGAAGTACTGTTTGTTAACTGTTATCCTAAGGCAGTCTGGCTCTTAAATCTAACTTCTTATATTATTGCTGCCACCAGCCTAAGGTTGAACCTTCATCATCAGAAAAGAATGATTCAGTAGGCTAAAGCTGCTAGCATAGAGTGTGGCACGTGACTAGTGGCCCATCAGTGTTAGGTCTCCACTTCCTTCCACTGAAACATGACTTGTGAACGCCTCAGTCTGGAAACGGCATGGCTGTAGCTGGTCCCAATATGAGGGATCTTGCAATTGCATCCTTTGGTATTCCACACCCCACCCTCACTGGTGGGATCTGCTGCAAGGGGAAATGGGACAACACTCTGTACTTAGGGGCCCTACTACTCACTGCTTCCGAGAACCAGTGTCCAGCACGAGTCAGGTGGGCCCAGAGCTGAATCCCAGGCCTGCCACTCACAACGGTCACTCAACCTCTCAAGCTTCAGGTTCCTTGTAAGTGAAGTGTGGGCTGAGATATAACCGAAGTCATGTTTTTGGGTCACAGCAGATGCTCAGTCAATGGTGGCTACCCTGGACTTCCATGGCACCACAAGGTTGCATTCCTGGGCAGGAGGGACTTCAGGTGTACAGAGGAACAGACTGCGTGTGCAGGGCAACCCACTTCCAGACAAAGGCGGCCCACCCCAAAAGGTCTGGGAGTGGAGCCTGGCACAAGCCCCAACTTTCTCTTCAGCTTCCTGCCATAGCTCACCCCAAACGTGCTTGCAGTTACGTTCAACAAGACTTTTCCCGTGAAGCTTTAGTTAAGAGTGACATGTCCACACCCCAACAATGGAAGCTGTGAGGCTGCAGATCCTTGTCTTGCATCCTCAGCACATAAGCAGCACAAAGTAGGCACTTAACACATATATACTGAATTAACATTATCCTGTAGCTTTAAGTACTCCCAAATGCACCTGCCACTAAGCATTTCCCAGCCTGGAAAGGAGGCCTCTGAATAGTTGAGGTACCCGCCCCACCACCATTTCCCTGTGTGGTCAGTCATCTGTCCTCTTCCCTTCCTCATGGAATATAAAAGTATAGGACATCTAGTTATAAATAGGAATATCTGCTTTCAAAGGCATGGTTTATCATTTCCTTAATCTCAAGCTATTACTTGTTGGCTACTTTTTATAAGCATTCCACCAAAAAGAGGCCAGTTGGGTTAAAATGAGCGGGACTGTATAGACAAGTGGGGTCTGAGTTGAACTATGTATCTTATACCAGGAGATGCCAAGAGACATTAGTGACAACTACACTGTTTCACCTTATAACAATATGACGGCTGTTCCTATCAGCAAAACCATCTGCCAGCTGGAGCAACAACTCCTAAGGGGGCTTCCCAGTACCCTTCCCTGCTTCCAGCCCCACCATCCACCACCAGAATCCTAACTCTAAATTAGAACAATTCCTAAAGTAGTAGCTAGAGCTGTGTAAGGAACAGTGCTTTGAAATTATAAACTTATTACTTACAGAAAGAGGTAAGATTAAGGCTGAGTGCAGTGCCTCATGCCTGTAATCCTTACATTCTGGGAGGCTGAGGTGGGAGGATCGCTTGAGCTCAGGAGTTTGAGACCAGCCTTAGCAAGAGCGAGACTCCAACTCTACTAAAAATAGAAAAAAAATTAGCCAGGCATGGTGGCACATGCCTGTAGCCCCGGCTACTTGGGAGGATTGCCTGAGCCTAGGAGTTGGAGGTTGCTGTGAGCTAGGCTAACACCAAAGCACTCTAGCCTGAGTACCCAGGTGATAGAGAAAGACTGTCTCAAAGAAAGAGGTAAGATTATTACCTGCTAAGGGAATGCAAATAAAGTCCATTTGCCTATGCATTCTTTACTAGGAAGGAGAAACTGATGCCAATAAAAAACATGGAATTCGTTCCAAAGTCAAATGTATTTTAGATTCTCAAGCCGTTATTTCCCTCAAGGGATAACAGATCTAGCTGTTTTCTTTACCATCAAACCTGCTGAAAATAAAAGCCATGGTGGTCTTATTTTATTTACCTATGATGCAACCCCACACTACCACTTCTGTCCTATCCCAACTATCTCCCCTGGCTTAGCAGAGTATTCCAGTAGGGGATAAATTTGACAATAAGCAGTCAGAAATTACTTACAAGCCTAGGAGATACTAAGAACAAGTTATTGAGAGAACCAATACGAAATCCAAGCAGCTAAGTTCAGAGACATAGACACATACCAAAGAGGGCATTCCATGCCATATCCTTCAGTGCCAGATGCTGTTCTAGGCCCCAGGGATACAGCCATGGAAAAAACACAAGACAAAAATTCTTGACTTGAAACAGCTTACATTCTGGCACACACTAGATATGCCTTCACCACCATACTACTATGTCACTACTAAAAAGTGAAAGACCTATGCAAACGCTCTAGCACACGATGCACAGGCAATAAATGCTGCTTCTCCCTTGTCATGTTTGAGTATCCCGATATTATATTTTTAGAGCATCCTGATACTTTCCAACACATAAAAGATTGGTACAATGAGAAGAACACAGTTTAGAGGCAGCCAGATGTGCCTCTGCTGACCAACAGTGGTTATTCCACAGACTGAGCAACACCTTGAGTAAGTTACTTCACCTCCTGAGCCTCAGCTTCTTCACCTGTAAAATGGGGACAGCAATTCCCTCAGAGGGCTTTGCCTGAATTGTACAGGTGAAACACACAGCACAGTGTGTGGCAGGTAATAGGCCGTCTTCCTTACCCCTTCTAGTCTTTTCAGATTGTCCAAATGAGAGCCAAGTACAGGACTCTAGAGAAGCCTCAGGTGTCATGTGTTCCTCCTGCGTCATTATGGGCACTTTCTCATCGCAGGTGGAGAAGTGCCCCTCCCTCTCTGATATGTGGCTTGGGGCAGCCCCGCCTGGCCACTCCACCCATCCTCCCCTGCTTTGGCCCTGAGTGCACACTTACAGAACATCAGCCCACTTTTAAAGTCCTCACCCAAAACTGTCCAGGAGAAGTCCTCTTCCACCCAGGCCTGGGTTCAGGCTCACCCCCAACCCTCCACCATACAATGAAAATCCAAAGGCCTTAAAAATGCCATTGCCCACATTTTCAATCAATATACTGGAAGACATGAAAAAAAAATATCTCTGATATAGTCACCCAAGTTCAGTAGCAACATCCCTTGATTAAACAAGGAACCAGGTTCCTCAAAACCCTTTGGGGCCCAAAGTCCACATGCAAACAGCTGCCTGCACTGGACAGGAGTCCCACACAGGGCGCTGATGCAGCAGGTGGATGGTTTTAGCTCTGACAGTCCATTCTTCAAAATTTCCTTGACCCTGTGAGGCAGAAGTCCTCTGGCCCTCCCAACCTAGGTGCTGGGCCTGCCCTGAAAAAGGTTCCAAGATGGACACAGGGCAGGCTTAGGTATGGGGGCATATGTGAAACCCCACGCTCCCCAAAACTCCCAGATAACACCTGCCTTCATTACCAAAACAAACACCACGAGTGGAGCCAGCTCTCTCCCTAGGATCTCACCTGATCCGTGCCCCCTCCATAATCAGCTGTTCCAACCCTTACAAGTTGACAGTTCAGGGGGAAAGGAAGGCTGCGCCTGCTAGGGTGCATTGTGTCCAGGCCGTATGCTGGGCCCAGGGCCTGGTGGCCCCTCAGGGCTACTGCCTCACAAGGGCGATTGTGCGTTCATCCCTGTCCTGTCGGCTCCTCCACCTCATCCCTCTGCTCCCACTCGGGCCTGGGTGCAGCGGGCACCGGCCGCTCCATAGGACGCTCAGCACCCTGCGCACCCGCCGCACCACCGAGGCGACGGCCCCGGGAAGGGCCCGCAGCGCACCACGCAGCCTTCCGGGCACATAGATGCCCGCCCTTCATCGCTCAGTCGCTCCCAGGCGACCTCCCCAGATGGAGCAACCCTCGACCTGAGAAGGCACAGAACCGGGACCACCCCCACCCCTGCTGGAGAGCTCCCCTCACTTCCCAGAGGACGCAAAGAAGGCGCGCCCTAGGTATAGGGGAGGGGACACCTGGGTCGTGCACAGGGCAGGGAGCAGGACCCTGGCGAAAGGGCTAGGCCGGAGACGGAGAGGGGCTGACGCGGGCTATGCTAAGAGTGCCGAGAAGTTTGGGGAAGGGGATCAAGGCGCGGAGCGGAGAAGTGAGGTCCAGGCGGGGGCCATGGGTGGAGGAGGGGAGGTCCAGACTTAAGACCGTGGGGGTAAAAGACTCAGGTTGAGGCCATGGGGAAACAGATCTAGGCCGCTGGAGCAGGGATTGATAGGGGTCCAGGCTGAGGCCACGGGGAAAGGAAGTAGGGGAGACAGCGACCCAGCTTGGACCATGGAGAGGGGGCCTAGCCTGGGCCATACCAGGGAGAAACGACGGCCTAGCCGGGACCTTATGGACAGGGGAAGCAAGCGGACCTAGCCTGGGCCGCAAGAAGGAGGAAGGGGGCCACGCCTGGGTCACCGGAGGGGGTTCCTGGTTTGGAACACCCGAGAAGGAGGGTCTAGCGTTGGCCACGGGAGAGACTAGCCTGGACACACAGGTGGAGAGTAGGGCTCCAGCTGGAGCCAGGGGCGGGGGCGGGGAGGGGAGGCAGAGTCACTGCCCACCCAGGACGCCCGCGCCGGCGACCCCCTCCTGAGCGGGGAAGGACGGTGTCTACCTAGGGTCCGGGACCCCGCCCCTCCCCCACCCCCAGAACCCACACTTCCCGGGTCAGGGGTCGGCGGGGAGAGGGGGACGCGAGCTCCGGCGGAGCCCCCGGGCTGGGGAGGAGGACGTGAAGCCTTTACCATGGTGGTGGCGGCGGCGGCGGTCCCGGTCCCGGCGTCTGTGGCTCTCCCCCCCGCAGCAGGGCCCGGCGCTTCCACTTCCCCCGGTGCCCAGGAGTGAACATCCGGGTCAGCGCCCCCCTCCCCCCGCGCCGGGCCGCCGCCACCATCCTTCCCCGCCCCGGCCCGGCCCGGGCCCGCCCCCCACGCCGCCAGCTCCCGGCCAATGAGCGCGCGCGGCCGCGGCGATCGCCAAAATGGAGCGCGGCGCGGGGGCGGCGCCGGCGGGGGAGGCGGGCGGGCCTGCGCGGCGGGGCGGGGCGCGGCGGCGAGAGCGGGCCGGGGGTTGCAGGGGCTTCCGCCGGCGCGGACACCCGGGCCCGGCCCTGCGGGCGCGGGAGCGTATGCCTAGCTCCCCACCATGTGGGTGCAGAAGCGGGTGGCGGCCAAGGAACCGGGCCTGGGCCCAGGGTAGGGATTGCGGAAGGCCCTCGGGCGGGGGGGGGCCGTCCGTCCGCGCCCCGCCCGTGCACGCCGCTCACTCCTGCGTGGACCCCGGAACTGGTGCCAGCGGGCCGGCCGGCCTGGAGAGCGGGCGCGTCTGGAGCACAGCGCTGCACTCCAGAAATTAAAGAGCATCGGGCCACACCGCTTCTCCAAGCACCGACTGTATACCCAGCCTTGTTTAGACACCAAAAGATATCAAAGGCAGAAAGATCCCTGCCCTTATAACTAGTATCTGTAACAGACTAGGTGTGCGGATGGCACAGGTGAAGAGATTAGAAAATTAAACTCATGAATAAATGCAGTTAAGAGTACTTTCACATGTGGCTGCGGGGAACAGTTCGTTCTGCCCAATGGGGGCTGCCCACCACAAAGTGACTCAAATTCTTCTTTTCTCTTTCTTCATTAAATATTTGTTGAGCCTAGTCTAGAAGACAGGAGACCTGGAATGCTAGTAATGTCTTTCCTCTCTGGCTTGCCTGCTTCCTTTAGTGAAATCAGGTCCATCTCTGGAGAGTGTGGTATATGGTACGAATGACAGGGCCAGGCTCTGTCCTCAGGGAGCCCATAGGTCAAGAAAAAGCGTACACAGGTGGCCACTGGCAGAAAACATAACAGATAAGTCAGACAAGAATGGTAGAGAATGGTATATTAGAAGTCAAAGACAGGAATGGCCACACTTGGCTGAATATTTATTGGCCCTACCATGTGGCCAGCACTGTGCTAGGCTCTGGATACGCAATGAACAAAACAACCCCATTGTAGTCCTGGAGCTTGAATGTTGGCAGGGAGACAGCACCAGAAAAATAGACTGTCAGGGAGTGAATGGTTAGAGATGTGGAGAAAAATCTGAGTGGTAGTACCAGGGGTCCTTAAACTTTTTTTAAACAGGGGGCCATTTCTCTGTCCCTCAGACCGTTGAGACCATTGGAGAGTGCAGCCACACATTCCACACATGCGCCTGTGGGCCCAGACAGGAGTGAGCTGCCTAAGCAGGACAGGAAGCGGGGGCAAAAACACCCTGGCGAGCCGATTAAAATGTCCTTGTGGTGTGTTTTGGAGGACGGACCTGATAGGCCGGTTGGCAAAATGGCAGTGTTTTGACTAGTTCTTCAAGGGAGTGCCTAGCTTAGGAAAAGTAATATTTTGGGTCCGGCATGGGTGGGCTCCTGCCTGTAATCCCTAGCACTCTAGAAGGCTGAGGTGGGCAGATCACTTTAGCTCAGGGGTTTGAGACCAGCCTGAGCAAGAGTGAGACCCCATCTCTACTAAAAATAGAAAAATTAGCCAGGTTTGTAGTGAGCATTTGCAATCCCAGCTACTCAAGAGGCTGAGGTAGGAGGATCACTTGAGCCCAGGAGTTGGAGGTTGCAGTGAGCTATGAGGACCCCACTATACTCTACCAGGGGCAACCAAGCAAGACTCTGCCTCAAAAATAATCATCATCATCATCCTAATTCAGAAGGGTGCTACTCAGCTCAGCACTAGAAGAGGAAGCTTCACAGAGCAGTTTCAGCAGTGGGTGGAGTAGTTCAGGGTCTGAGCCAGTGGTAACAAATGCTTGCCATCTGCAATGTGGTAAGTACTTTGAGACCAGCAAACACTGGGCTTGTTTTACCAAAATGAACCCCTAAAACTGCTAGCTCTGGGCAAGGGGCTCTAAAAGGGGCTAGCACTTGCCTTCCAGGCTGGTTGGGAGGTTAAATGTAACACCACCGATCAGTCATCCATGTTAATCAAATAATCACAATAATAACAGCCAATACTCCTATTGCACTTACAACGTGCCAGACACTTTCCACACATAAACACACTCGATCCCTCAATCCTCACAGTAACCTCTATGCACCAGGTGAATAGTGGAAGACAGGACTGGAAATTTATCACTAGACAGTTGTAGACGAAGGCTCCGTTCACAGGTCTCCAGAGATGTCAGAAAAATGTGGGTCAGTAACAGAAAGCAGGATGGAAAAGAGAAGGCAAATGGCCTCCCTAAGCCACCTGCGTCCCGAGGTATGGACTTTCATCGTGCTGGTTCTGTGCTCACCACCAATTCTTTCAGAATCTTTGATGCATTCTTCCACCCACTTCCCTGTTTAAGACTCAGGCTTGCTGTACCTAACAGGTCTCCTCGACTGTTCGGTAAGCACCCACCAAACAAATAACCTGACAGTAAGAAAACCACTAGAGGCAGTACAACCCATTACCAGGACAGCCACCAGGCCTCCGTTTCCACACCTGTGTAACAAGGGTGACGTGACAACCTGTCTCATAGGGCTGCCTGGAGTATTAAAAAGTAGTCAATAAAAACTACCTCCTGGCTGGGCGTGGTGGCTCACGCCTGTAATCCTAGCACTTTGGGAGGCCGAGGCGGGCGGATTGCTCAAGGTCAGGAGTTCGAAACCAGCCTGA